CTCTTGATGGGACAGGTGGTCCACACCGTTACAGCAGAGCTCCCAGTTACAGCCCCTGTTGCTTGCAGGGCTTGGTAGCATAGAGCTGTTTCTCTATTAGACTGTATCCTGCTTCAGCGCCTTTCCATACCTGGGATCAAAACCCTCTTGGGGCGTAGAGCCTCCCCTGCTGTTGTCAAAGACCCCGTGACATCCAGGGAGGGCCGGACCGTGTTAGGTTGGCCAAAAAGTCTTATGTTTTTTCCATATGGTGGCTCTAGTAGTGCTTAGTTGTCTTTACCTTTATTCGAAACAATTTTGTTAGATTGTATTGTGATGGCTGTCATATTGGCGTGCCTTTAAAAAAAATACTTACCAAAAATAGTGAACTTTTGTGCAGCCATTTTAACACTGAAGATGGAAGAAGATATGCAACATTTTTGATGTATTATGCTTTATTATTTCAAGAAAGGTAAAAATGCAACTGAAATGCAAAAAAAAAAAAGAAAAGAAAAGAAAAGAAAAGGTTTGTGCAGTGTATGGAAAAGGTCCTGTGACTGATCAAAGGTGTCAAAAGTGGTTTGCAAAGTTTCTTGGTACTATTGGCATTTTGGCCAAATAATCCTTTGCTGTGGGGCTGTCTCATGCACTGGAAGATGTTTAGCAGCAGCCAAGAATGGAAGATAGCCGGCATACTCAAAATATCCAAATCAATAAAGTTATTGGCGAAAATGAAAAATGTCTTTTATTCGATGGAAAAAATGCACCATGCTTTTTGGCCAACCCAGGACATACCAAGCACCTGCACCCGTTGAACCGTTCCTTTTGCTTCCTCAAAGGCCTCTGGTGCTTCTCCTGCCAATCCCACTGTTGTCCTCTTCTTAGAAGAGCAAACAAAGGTTTCGGTATCTGGGCTAAATGAGGGAGAAGGCTCTCCGATAACCTAGTAACCCAACAAATTCTTGCAACATTTTCCTCCTAGTGGGCAAGGAAGAGACTTGAGTTTTATCAATAACAGCGTTAGATAATACTTTTGTTTTACCAGACCAGATAACACCCAAGAACTTGACAGGAGCCTTTTATCTTTTCCTGGCTATTAAGAAACCAGAAAGGCCTATTATTTTTTGTCCTTTTGTACTATTTTTAAAGACTTTTTTGAATTAATTTTCCAACTACTTTATTGAATATTTAATTTATTATATTTTTAATATCCAAGGGCACTTGGTTGTTATTCATTTGATGTATGATATTAGAAGAAAACAGTATGTAATTATGTAATCCTTGTTTCATAAATGCAGTATCTTCTCCCACGTCCCTGAAAATTTACTCAAACTTCTTCTATTTGTCTTCATTGTTGGTGGAATAGCTTTTTTTTTTTCTCATTTGTTTTTACTTTGATTTCTAACTTTGCAATTTAATGCTTCCCTGGTCATCCCCAACTGTTATCTTCATATTTAAGAACAAATCACTAGATTTTGGGGTAGTTTATGCCAAAAATTACCACCATAACGAAGTATACTTTTCTAATGACAAGAACAACTGTATTTATTAACAGTTCAAATACGACTGAGGTTCTCTCTCTTTTTTTAATGTGAAGATAAAGATTTTTGTTTTTGTCAGCATTACAGGTCATTTAATAATAAAACATTTATCCCCAATTTTCTACTCTTTGCTGTTTGCCTAATTTGTGGCTTTTTAAAAAAAAATTCCTGTTCTTCTGGTACGGTTGTCCCAGTTCCCCCCTTCGCCCTCCTCCGCCCACAGCCCGTCCTCACGGGGCCGCCCGTGCCCGTGGGTCATTCATACACGTCCTTTGAATGATCCCTTCCTCTTTTTTCCACCATTGTCCCCCTCCCATGGATGAGGTTCACAAATGCTGACTCAAATCTCTCAGCCTGGTTGGTGGCTGGACTATTTGGTTTTATTCTAAGATGATTAGGTGAAAAACCGGGCTTTCCGGATGCCATTCCTATATTTTTCTGGGACCAAAGGTTCTCCATGGATGGATCCTTCAGCCTCCTCCTGGAGGGCGGTCCTGACGCAGGCGGGAGAGGGAGGCCTGGGTCCTGGTCTCGCGCAGATTTCCCCTCCGCCCCTGTTCCCAGCCTCGTGTCTCTCCTTCCCCTCCCTCTGTTCCTCTGTGTTGGGTGATCCCAAGTGAAGCTTCTGGTTCACTTTCTTCGGAGAATAAATCTGGGCCTGTTTGCTGGGGCAGGTGGGCGGGGTGGGCAGCGGACTCTCCTTCCAGATGAGGCTCTCAAGCTGTGTGTCCAGACTGTCAACAACCTCTCCGTTTAGTCCCTGTGTCAACACTGCCTTTTCAGCCCCTGCCAAGATCTGAGGTGTCTGGGTCCCTCAGGGACAAAGTGGCCCCATCTCCATGTGTCCTCTTCACAGAGGGAGGTGGCTTCAAACCGAACACTAGAAAAGTGGGTTGTTCTCCTCCCCACCCCCAACTTCTTCATCCTCTCCATCTGATTCCCAGGGGCCCGTGGTTGATGCCGTCTCCCTCTCTCTGTCCTCTGAGTCAGTACCGTTTATTTGTCCACGGCAGCGGTGTCACTGTGGCTGGGGTTTAGGAGGAAGGGCACAGAGGCCCAGCTGTTCCACCCGCTCTGCTTTACTGGAAAGCCACCGGGTTTCCATTTACACAGCTTTATGACACCAGCTGCATAATGTGTCCCATGCTCTGCCTCGCAGTGTCCTGGGGCATCCCCACCTGTATTTTTCTCCAGACAACCTTGGGGATCACTTTTAATGTTCATTAAATCAACCTGAGCCCTGGCCACTGCTGCTCAGTTGGTTGGAGCATCGCCCCCATAAACCAAAAGGTTGCGGGTTTGATCCTTGGTCAGGTGAGGATAAAAAAAATTGTATAAAAACAGTCAAATTTGCCTGCAATTCATATTCTACTGGGATTTTTGAAGAGTTGATGTTTGATGACAGCATCTCTTTTCAGCAACACTGAATGACATTTCATTTCATGTCATTTTCCTTCTCAGGAAAGTTCCATAGTTGTCACAGTCTCTAAAACATTCCTGTGAGGGCTATTCTTCGCCACAGCCGATAGGAATGTATGGATGCTGCTGTGAATTGAGTCTTTACTGTTATGACATCTCATTAGTTATTACTGATATTAAAAAAATGAGTTTCTTCTTCCTCTCCTTGTTTGTGTTTAAAAGATTTATCTTCCATCTAGACACCTTGTGAAACTTAATCTTAAAACATTTTCAGTTGAGGCTTTTGGCTTTTCTGGGAAGAAGGTTGTATTATCTGTCAACGATAGTCATGAGATGTTTCCCCAACACCCTCAGACCTCTTGTTTCTGTTTCTGGGAGATCTGCACGTCATGGTCCAAAGCTGTCTTTGTCCTCTGGCCCGGCCCAGCTGGTTATCACCCAGCCTGGGGCTGGGGGACGGGGAGACTGGGTCCAGCGTCAGTCTGGGTTCTGGGACCCTGCGGCTTCTCGCTGACACGCCTGTGAGTTGGCTTCCTGTCATCGGGCCCTGAGAGTGAGCCCCGAACCCACATCCACTGCTGAGGGCAGGTGAAGGTTTGGGTCCTATCCAGACCAGCGGTGGGGGGATGGAGGAGGAAGCCCCGCTCCCACGACCTGAAGGGTTCGTCCCGCGGGCCTGTGGGCCTTGCTGGGTCTGGGAGCCCAGCCCCTCCTCTCCTGGATGCTCACTGCCCCCACTTTGATGGGGCCTCCGGGCCATGTTAGATCATGATTCTGTCTCCCGATGATTCTGGGTGCCCCTAGAGTAACCAAAATCTCAACAAGGAAGACAAGGACTCTGGCCCCAGGAGGGAATGATGGGGTTCTGTTCTAGAGACCTGAGCTCACCCGAGTGCTGCAAAGCATGCCTAGAAGACCTCCTTGCCTGGTTCACTGGGGACAGAACGGCGGCTCAGGAGTGTGGGGACCCCTCCTCCTCTTGTTTCTCCTCTCAAACCATTGTCTGGTCCTATCCCATGGTTGGCGGAGAATGATTCTCAGAATGTCAAAGGACGGAAAAGTCTGCGTGTGGCTGGGTGACCGGCCTCTGCCTGCAGTTGGATTCGGGGGAGAGAGCTACTCCATTCAGAAAGCAACAAGTGCGAGAGGGGAGGTGGGCTCCCAGCACGGTGGGGGATGGCTCGGGGTCCCGGGGAGTGTGCAGAAGTCTCCCCTGGGCTGTGAGGAAAGGTGATAAGAACTAGCATTACACTGGCACCTCTCTCAGTCTTTGCTGTGCATTTTGACAAAGTTTGATCAGGCATTTGATGTGCTAGGAGAGTTGAACAAGTGTGGAGGGGTGTCCTGGCGCAGCTGTAACAAATACCACGGACTGGGGCCTTTAAACAACAGAAATTTATTCTGTCACGGTGTTGGAGGCCAGAAGTCTAACATTAAGGTGTCAGCAGGGCCCCACTTCCTCCAAAGATTCCAGGGAAGGACCCTTCCTACTGCTTCCAGCTCCTGGTGTTGCTGGCAAGTGTTGGCTCCAGGTCTACCAAGGCTGTCCTTTTCCAGGATGATGTGCACCTCGAAAGAAGAAGGGGAGCATTGGGAGCAGGGGGTCTGATGCTCTCCTGTCACCCAGCTCTCAGCTCAGGTACAGAGCCCCCTATTCCATTCATGTTCTTACTCTGTTTTATTTGTTTCATCTTTTAAAAATTTTTTCCCATGCGCATACTGTCCACCTCACTATTGACATGTCTCCAGCATTCAGTTGTCTGATGGGCTCAGAGAAGACACCCAATATTTCTTGTTTGACAGTTGGCCTGTTGGTCACCGCTAGTCCCATTGAAGGAATAAGCCCTGCCTCTCCCCACGCCCCATCCCCAAAGAAGGGAGGCTTCCTCCTTGCCCAGCGTCTGGGCAGGGAGCATAAAGAGGCTCAGAGGGGTCCAGGAGCAGAATGCAGAGAGACCCGGCATGGTGAGGGTGCTGCTCAGCCCCCACTCTCCCTATTGCCCGTCCTCAGGGTCCCTGTCCCACCTCTCCTCTCACTCTGTCTCTTCTCTCTCCTTTAAGATGCTGTGGCTGCTGTTCCTGACCCTCCCCTGCTTAGGGGGCTCCATGCCTGTGACCTCAGGTGAGTCCTGACCCCCAGGCCTGCGCTGTCTCCAAACCCCTGACCCTGGTCTCTCTGAGGCCAGCCCTGGGATTCGGTGGTGACCCCCATACGAGGACGGCCGTGGGAGGGCTGAGTACGAGGACCATGCTGAGTTCCGCGCAGGGGGGCCGAGGTCCCTGAGAGCTCCTCCTCTGCTTCCCCAGATTCTGGCCCAGGCACTGAGCTGGTGGGCATCGTGGGGGGGCATGATGCCCGCGCTGGGAAGTGGCCGTGGCAGGTGAGCCTGTGGGGCGTGAACACAAAAAATAACACCGTTATCTTCTTATGTGGGGCCTCCCTCATCCACCCCCAGTGGGTGCTGACCGCTGCCCACTGCATTTCAGGGTAAGTGCCCACCATGCCAACACCCAAGGAGTGGTAGGCAATGTCAGAGGCATGTGATGTGTGTGGCGGGCAGTTCCTGGGCTGGGCGGGTGCAGGTCGCTCGCTGGGATCCAGCTTCCTGGAGTTCCCTGGCCCGCCGCAGAGCGGGGGTCCCTGGGCTCCAAGGGGCTGGCCCACTTCCTGTTCTGCTGCAACTCTTAGAAGCTTCTGGTCTGCTGTCCTCCAGGAAAAACCCAGTGCCTCAGGACTTTGTGGTCCAAGTGGGACAAGTGAGACTCTTCAATGATCACCAAGTGCAGGTGGCTATGGTCATCCGCCATCCCAAGTACAGCCTTGAAGAGAAAGGAAAAGGTGGGGCCGATGTGGCACTTCTCAAACTGAAGGCCCCTGTGACACCATCTAACCTAGTCAGGTGGATCACCCTCCCTCCAGCGTCGTTCACGGTCCCCGCAGGCACGAGATGCTGGGTGACAGGCTGGGGTAACATTGGTCCCGAAGGTAAGAACCAAGATGACAAGGTGAAAGGAGACGAGGAGCAGACTCAGTGGGGCGCAGGCCAAGCTTCACAGATGAGGCCTTAGCTGGGATCCTTCCTGGGGTCTCTCCTGGGCGTAGGAGGCAGGCAGCTCGCGAGGACTCTGTTAGGGAGTGGAGGCCAGAGGAGCAAGAGCAAGGCCAGGCCGCGGGCATTCCTCTGCTCTCATTCTGTGCCAGGCCCTGTGTGTGCCCTTACGTGGGTCCCCCATTTTCGTGGGTTCCCATTCTCCCTGCAGTCTTGAAGGTGGGATGGAAAAAGGGGGAGAGAAGTTGAGTGACTTGCTCAAGGATTCATTATTAATGGACAAAGTCAAATTTGACACTAAGTCTACTCACTCTGCATTTCTTGGGGAAAATGCTTGCTCTGTTTTTTTGTTTTTTTTTTTAAAAAAAGTATTTGTGTGTTAAAAAACAGTCTGCTCTGGCTGGTGTGGCTCAGTGGATTGAGCGCTGGCCTGTGAACTAAAACGTTGCCAGTTTGATTCCTAATCAGGGCACATGCCTGGGTTGTGGGCCAGGTCCCCAGTTGGGGGCATATGAGAGGCAATTGATTAATGTTTCTCTCTCACATCAATGTTTTTCTCCTCTTTTTCTCTCCCTTCCTCTCTCTCTAAAAATAAATAAATAAAATCTTTAACAAAAAATCTATTCCTTTCTTTCTTTTCGGAGCTTGGTGCCCAGTGTCAGTCTAGAAATTATTGGCCCATTGACCTGGAATGAGCCCGGAGAGTTGAAGTCCCAGGCAACTCCCACCAGGGTCCCCCTGGGGACACTGAGGCCCAGTGTGTGGTCCTGGAACCCATGACCCATGACTGTCTGCCCCTTCAGGACCACAGGCTCACTAGGCTTCTTCTCACAGAGACGCTGCCTCCACCCTACCACCTGCAGGAGGTGGAGGTCCCTATCGTGGCGGATGAGATCTGTAGGCAGCAGTACAGCAAGACCGATAAGCCTATCAAGGACGACATGCTGTGTGCAGGGAGCAATGGCCGGGACTCCTGCATGGTGAGCTGCTCCCTGTGCCCCGCTCCCCCAACCCCCTCGACTGTGGACTTCATCCATTGCTCCTGTTCGCAGGGACCCTGAGTATTGACCATCTGTCTCTTCTTCCCACAGGGTGACTCTGGGGGTCCCTTGGTCTGTAACTGGAGGGGCACCTGGTTCCAGGTTGGGGTAGTGAGTTGGGGGATCAGCTGCGCCCATCCCAACTTTCCTGGAGTCTATGCCCGAGTGACATCTTTCTTGTCCTGGATCCACCACTATGTCTCCTCCTCTCCATGAGCCCAGGGCAGGGACAAGGATGCTGCTCACAAGCGATGAAGACAGCCCGTCTAGGGTGTTTGTGGGACCCTCACTCTGCTCCTTCCCCAAATCCAGCTCTTCATTGCACCTAGCGACGTCCTCCATCACCCTGCTCTGAGATCCTCCTGCCCTGCAGCCTCCTCCAGTATTCTGCCTCTCCCCTGGCAGGTAAAAGGGAGAGGCGAGACTGGGTCGGTGTGGGAGGAAGTGCTCCAGGACTCCTGCCCCCTGCCCACTCTCTGTAGCTCATTAAACTGCATGAACACAGGCTCTGGACGGAGTGTACTTATTACTTGTGGGTGTGGCCGAGGCAGCTGGTGGGTGGGATGTTTCTGGTGAGAGAACCCAGGCTATGAAAGGTGGACACTGTTGGAGGGGAGGTGGATAGGCAACTGTGACTGCAGCATGGAAGAGGGCAACATGGGTGGGCTCTCTGGGTGGGGTGGAGGCCGAATTTTCTGCCTCGGCTCTGAAATCTTGGCGCGGAGGGCTGCTCCCAGAATGGTCCAGCATCGGGACTTCATCCTGCCTCATTCAATTGCAATCAGTGTGTAACTGATGTTTTGAATGACTTGGATTTAGCAGCACAAAAGCAGAAAGATTTGTTTTTCCATCATCACCACTGTTCTTTCTGACCATGTGCACCTAATCCTCGTTCTCCAGTTTGATCAGCTTCTTGGACCGAATAAAGTACAGTCCCATTTCTAGGGGTGAAAAAGTCTACCTACTCCAACGCAGAAGCTAGTCTCTCATTCAGAGCTTCTCCTGAGGAGGGAGAATCTGCAGGAGACCAGGGACAAGCCCGGTTTCCCCTTCTTCCCATCCCAAATCCTTCCGCTCATTGGTTGGAGGTGGCCAGAGAGAAATCATGAGGTAGAAGTTCATCGGTCACCGATACTATTCTCCTGGTGTTGGCGCCCCCTGCTGGAGAAGAACCACACTGCACCATCCTCCCAACACTGCAAAGCTCACCTCTTTTTTTGGCGGGGGGTGGGGGGGGTGGGGGGGGGGGGGAGTGGTGGAAGGGGGGCTTCCAGTGGACTAGAAAAGCTCCTCTGTTTCAGATCTACTCAGTTGTGAAGCTACTCCCTGCCCCGAGGCAGTGATGTGAGCCTTCTGCTGAATTGGAATTTTGGGGAAATTGTTAGTATTCTGCCGGGGTGGATTCCTGCACTGACAGGTTGGGCCAGGACCCATGAGAGCCCTTGTAGCCTGAAGTGTTGTGGGCAAAGGGGCTCCACACTCTTCAGAGACAGACTGGTCCCCAGAGTCTGATTTCTAAAATGTGGTGGCCGCCTTTGAGACATTTCAGTAACCAAGACCTCTACCCTCTGAGGCCAGGGTGAAAACAGTCCTCTCCTCTAACTGTGCCCTGGGTGCTTGGGGGAAGGTCTGGACTCTCGGGTTAGGGAGAGTCAAAGTTCCAGGGCGGGTGGGTCGGGAGCTGCTCCCGCCATGTGCCCAGGGACAGAGGCCTGGGTTTCCTGGGGGCCAGGAGTTCTCCAGGAAGCTCCCTTTCTGGGAGAATGAGGCCTGAGACTCAGCTGGAAGGCACCACTGTGCAGATTGGCCCCCCTTGGGGGTCTGCTCCGCCCAGCGAGTGAGGAGCGGGTTGACACAAGCATAGCCTGACACTGTCCCCCTTGGAATTCCATGTACATGTCAATGGGGCCATGTTGATGGGCGGCTGCCGGGTGAGCCACACATACCTAGTTCACCCTCTGCCTGCTAGGACAGTGCTGGTGTGCCGGTCTTGCTACTGGGTTCCGTGGGATTGTAAATCCCTTTGTAGCCAGTAAAAGAGCTTTCCTTCCTTGGTGAGGGGTGTAGTCAGACCTGTCGTGTTTGCAGGATTAAGAATGAGGGTCTGAGTGACTCAGGGGCCAGAGCTCCCAAGGGAGGGAGAAGGGACCTAGATGAGACCTGGTGTTGTAGGGAGGGCCAGGGGCAGACAGACCTGAGCTCGGAACGGTGTCCATGGGCATGGCCAAAAGGGCAGACCGGCAAGGCTCTCTCTCCTGAGGATGGGCACAAGGCTCTGCCCCCGGACCAGGCTGAAATCACCGCTGAAGCACCGCACTTCCTAGACTCAGCTGTAACGCGAGGCAGGGAGCCCTGAGCCCGGGTGCCTGGGCTGGAGATGGAGGCTGGGGAGGGTGTGTTGCCCCTGGTCTCTGAGATCTGTTCTGACTGGGTTCTGGGCTGGCAGAGGTGGGTGCTGGGGGTAGCTGAGCCAGCAGTGCTTTGTCACCTGACAGAGACTGCTCCAAGGCCAGGTCAGTGCCCATGAGACCTCTGGGGTGGGGGGCCCACAGATGTTGGCCTCTTCCCCTTCTCTTGTGTAGCAAGAGACACCTTCAGGGCTTGGAAGTGAGATTCTTTCTAGGTCGATGCCCTTCCCTTGAGGTAGAAAAACACCTTAGTCACTATCAGGCTCTCCCACCTGTGCTAGTGTCCTGGGGTCGCAGTAACAAAAGCCCAGAGATGAGGGTGGAGGGAAGCTTAAAGCAACACAAATTCATCCTCTCACTCTCTGGAGGCCAGAAGTCTGAAATCAAGGTGTCCTGGGGCCACACCTATTTGGAGGCTCCTGCTCCTTCCAGCTCCAGGTGATGCTGGTAATCCTTGGCTTGTGGACGAGTTTCTCCACCCTCCACTCCTCCCTGTCTCCTCTGTGTCTTTCTGCATCCTCACCACATCTTACAAGGACACCCATCCTTGGATTTAGGGCCTACCCTGCTCCAGTCTGACCTCATTTTAACAAGTTACATCTGCAATAACCCTATTTCCAAATAAGGTCAGGCTCTGAGGTTCTGGACTTCACTGATCCACACTGATCTCCCTCAATGGGGAGATTACATGTTACTTAGGCTGTTTGCGCCTGAGAGGGGGAGATCAACCCTGAAGAGGTATGGGGGCTCAGCGCATTAAATATTTAGGGGTCCCATGGTCAAGCATACAGGAGCACTCCCTTCAAAGTAACAGATCAATGGCGACATCTGAACCTCTCATGTGAAACAGCATACTCCACACCTCAGAGCGCTGCTCAGCCCGCGAAGCTGGTGACACAAAAAGCTGCCAATCCTGAGTGGTCCCAGTGCTAGAAAGGACTCTGCTGCAGGTCTAGGCTGTCATCTGCACTGCAGGGCTCAGCACACATGGTGGTGTTAAAAGTATTGGGTGGTATGCAGGCCCCAGTGGGGGAGCGGCAACGTAAAGGCCATGCAGTGTGCACTGAGAAATATCATTATTATTATTATTATTATTATTATTATTATATTATTATTTTATCCTCACCTGAGAACATTTTTTTCATTGTTTTTTAGAGAGAGAGGAAGGGAGAGAAACATCGATGCGAGAGAAGCATCAATCAGTTGCTTTCCACACGCACCCAGACCAGGGATCTTACATGTCTGGACCAGGGGTCGCACGCTCCTGTATCCAGACCAGGGATCAAACCCACAACCTTAGTATAGGCCCTGGCTGGGAATTGAACCTGTGACCTTTCTGTACTGGACAGTGCTCCAACCACCTGAGCCACGCTGGCCAGGGCCCAAGGAATATTATTGAGATGTAAGTTACAACTGGCACCTGGGCACATTGAGTTCCTTGTGTCTACAGGTCAGTGAGCAAGAAGTGCCACCATCTTGGTAGGGACAATGACACTGACCATCAGGAGGAGGCAGGGCTGCTGTGTCACAATGGAGGGCAGGGGAGTTGAGGGGCACTTCCCTTGGCACCTCCTCTACAATTGTGATGGCAGATGGACAAGCGCAGCTACCTGCCCTGAGAAGTCCATATGACCAGACAGAGCTCAGACCTCAGGGATGGGGGTCTGGGTTGTGCTACCAGGTAAATTCCAGAGCCCACAGCAAAGGGGGAAGATCTACATGGAGAGGGAGGGGGCCCTATCGGTCTCAGTGGTACCCTGGACCTCTCCTCCTGAGCTTGCCTGGGCAGAGAGGCCCTCGGAAGCCCTGCAGCAGCCGTCCTCAACGCGCGAGGCCGGGGGGTGGACAGTGCTGGGCGCGGACATGGGCCTCCGGCTCCCACTTCAGGGCAGGGCTTGATGACCAGCGTCTGGGAGGGCTGGCAGCTCCTTCCGGTTGCGTCATCCCATCAGGCCCGTCTTGGTTACGGCAGGAAGATGTAAGGGCTGGCCTTTTGCTCCAGTGAGGACCGTGGACAGCAGGTCTCCCCATGGGTTAGCCAAGGTGTTATCATCCTGCGTTAGGCTCCAGCCTCTCCCTCTGGCCTGCTTTGCTCTGTCCACCTGCCTTCCAGATGCCTCTCCCCTATTTGTACCCTACATGAAACACCCCATCTCAGTGCTGGCTTCTGGAGAGTTCACCTAGGGTGTCTCCTAGAGAGGACAGTGTGCCATGTCCCTCAGCTGGTGGCGGTGAGGGTGGCTGCGGGCCACATGCCAGTCAGGTGGCTGCAGTGAAGGCAGCGGCTGCATGCTCTATTCAAATGGCGGCGCGCTCCACACCGCTCCCCAGAGTTCAGTGGATTCAGGGGCTGGCCCGTGCCTCGAGTGGCCCAGCACCTGGGGTCTCTGCCTCCCTTGTCCTGCCTGCCCTGAGTCCAGCACTCCAGGGCTTCTTCCAGCAAACCCACATCCTCTTGACACACTCTCCTCTGCTCATGTCCTCCGGTCCAGTTATTTTGTGGCTGAGACCCACTCAGCTAGAGTGTGGCTGTTGCCCAGTAACAGCTTGGTGGCAGGCCTGGTGGGAAGCAGGGCAAGAGCCCAGCAGCAGCTCCTCGTTGCTTGCTGACTGAGGCACCGACCTGCAGTGGGCCTGCGGGAGGGGAGGCTTCACTTCCTGCCCATAGTCCAACCACGGGGCTGACCCCCGCCCCTTCCTGCGCCAGGGAATGAAGGGGCTCAGAGAGCCCCGAGAGGAATGAGAGCAGGGTTCCTTCAAGGTGCGGGTGCCCCTGCTCAGGCCCAGGCTTCTCCATCTCCCACAGGGGTCCTGGCCCCTGGTGGCCTGACCCAGGCCCTTGCCCACCCCCACAGATGCTGTGGCTGCTGTTCCTGACCCTCCTAGGCCTGGGGGGCTCCGTGCCTTTGTTCCCATGTGAGTCCTGTCTCCCTGTCCTCATCTTCTCCCTCAGGCTGCCCAGAACCCTCAGCACCAGCTCAGGGTGGGACTGGTTGGTCCACTCCTGGGAGGGGCTGCATGTGAGAGACTGGGCTGGGGTCTATGATGGTGCCCCCTTTTTGCTTCCCAGATCCCAGCTCGGGGAGGGAGCAGGGTGGCATTGTGGGGGCTCACAGTGCTCCCGCTGGACGATGGCCTTGGCAGGTCAGCCTCCGACGGTACAATGAGGAGCTTGAGCTATGGCAGCACATATGCGGGGGCTCCCTCATCCACCAGCGGTGGGTGTTGACTGCTGCCCACTGCGCTCAGTGGTGAGTCACGCAGCCTGACGCCCCCTTGGCAGCGGTGGGGATGGGGACACAGAAAGCTGTGATTGGAGGTGGGTTTGGGGCGGGGCCCTGGGTCTCAGGGAAAACCACTGTTAGTGGACAACCCAGTTCTTGCTGCTGCACTGAGACTGGTCCTGTCCCCTCGTCTCCTCTGAGAAGCTCCTGGTCCCTCTCCCCCAGGGAGGACTTGGAGGCTTATGGCTTCAGGGTCCAAGTTGGGCAGCTGAGACTCTATGACCATGACAAACTGACAAATGTGACTCAGATCATCCGCCACCCAAAGTTCAACCAGGGCCTGTCTGCCAAGGGGGGCGCGGACATTGCCCTGCTGAAACTGGAGGCCCCGGTGACCCTCTCTGAGCTCATCAACGTGGTCACCCTCCCACCTGCCTCTCTAGAGGTTCCTGAGAAGAAGATGTGCTGGGTGACCGGCTGGGGATACATCAGCCTCGGAGGTAAGGCTCAGGGAGATCTGGCAGGGTGTGTGGAGATGCAGGGCGGCCTGCTGGATGTGTGGTTGTGGCTTTGCTGAAAATGCTTTATTCTCTGCAATTTTGGGGAATCCTCCACCTTTTTATTGTGGCAAAGTATACATAACAAAAGTTTACCATTTTAACCATTGTTAAGTGCACAGTTCAGTGGTATTAAGCACATTCCCAGTGTTGTGTGACCATCACCACCATCCCTCCGCAGAGCTTTTTCATCCTCCCAAAACAGAAGCTTTGTCTCCATTAAATGATAACTCCCCATTCCCCAGGGACTGGCAACCACGAACCTACTTCCTGTTTCTATGGATTTACCTGTTCTGGACATTTCATATAACTGCAAATCATACAATGTGTGTGTGTGTCTGGCTTCTTCACTTAGCATGAGGTTTTTTCCAAGGTTCAGCCACCTTATAGCATGTGTCAGAACTTCACTCCTTTTTATGGTCAAGTAATACTCCATTGTATGGACGGACCTTTTCTAAAAATCCATTCCTGAATTGATAAGACTGTTTCTACCTTTTGGCTGTTGCTAAACATGCTACTGTGAACTTGTGTATTCAAGCAACTGTTAGAGTACCTGTTTTCAATTTTTAAAAGATCTTATTTATTTTGTACTAGTTTCAGGTGCACAGCATAGTGGTTAGATAATCATATATTAATACTTTAAAAAGTGTTCTCCCATCCCCCGATATTTCCAGTACCCACCCGGCACCACACACAGTTACTACAGTGCTATTGACTGTGTTCCTTATGCTGTACTTCACATCCCTGTGACTGCTTCGTAACTTCCAGTTTGTATCTCTTAATCCTTCCCCCTTTTTCGCTCAGCCACCCATCGCTCCCACTCTGGCAATCATCAGTCTGTTTTCTGTATTTATGAGCCTGTTTCTATTTTATTTGTTTATTTTGTTGTTTAGATTCTGCATATAAGTGAAATCATGTGGTATTTGTCTTTCTCTGACTGACTTATTTCACGTAGCATAATGGTAAGATTTCATTACTTTTATGTCCCAATAATATTCTATTGTATGTATGTGCCACCACTTTTTTATACTCATCTATTGTTGGGCACTTCAGTTGCTTCCAAATCTTGGCTATTGTAAATAACACTCAATGAACATAGGGGTGCATATATTCTTTTCAGTTAGTGTTTTGGATTTCTTCAGATATATATCCAGAAGTGGAATTGCTGGGTTATGAGGCAGATCCATTTTTAATTTTTTGAGGAACCTCCACAATCCTTTCCACACTGGCTGCACCGACCTGCGTTCCCACCAACAGTGTGTGAGGGTTCCTTTTTCTCCATAGTCTCACCAATGACTGCTGTTTGTTGATTTACTGATGACAGCCATTCTGAGAGGTGTGAGGTGATATCCCATTGGTGTTTTAATTGAGTTTCTCTAATGATTAGTGATGTTGATCATCCTTTTGTATGTCTGTTGGCCGTTTGTCCTCTTTTTTTAAAAAAATAAATTTATTGGGCTGACATTGGTTACTAAGGTTATAGAGGTTTCAAGTGTACAGTTCTGTCATACATTATATGTATATCTTACTGAACAGCAATTGGGGTCCCACTGCCCACTGCCACCCTCTAGACAAAATTCCAGAGGCAAAGGTTTGGTGATAAAGGAAAAGAGTCTTTATTCAAAAGCTTCACAATTTTGGAGTATCAGCTTGTGCAGTTAGTCACTTAAGCCTATCAATTAAGACTAAACTCTTTAACTCTTTAGTTACAGCTTTAATCAGAAACCTATCAATTAAGACTAAACTCTTTAATGCCTGAGTTCTCCTATCATTCCCCATTAGTTTTAATTATCTTATTTCTATAGGGTTAGTTTACAAATTAAAATAACATAAGATACAAAAACTATACAATATTGGAAGAATGGCAGGCTTCTGCCTCAGAGGTCATCCTCTCTAGAGCACCTGAAGAATAGCCCTGCCACCCTCTGCCAGGCCAGCCTGATCCTAGGCTGTGCATGGAGTTCCTTCCCATCCAAAATATTGTCTGTTGGGAAATGTGAGCAGCTGCAGCACGATCATCCAGGCCTCCTTGAGGAAGAAGCCAGAGAAGCCAGAGCCAGCCAGTCTGAGCACCCAAGAGCCCTCCTTTTATTTCAAACGTTCTCATCCATAATTCCATGTACTCTGGAGGCATTCTGCATCTCGGCCAATCCCATTCTAGGCTGTTTACTGTTGCCTTGGTCAACCTCCCTCTACTCCTCCCCAGTGATCTTATAAGATCGCTGTGTATCAATTTCCCCCTTTAACACTTCTGCACATTTGTATTCTTACAAAGGCAAATGAGCGAAGGTCTCATTCTTTTTAGCTACTTCCTGCTGGCCATGGGCGCAGTCCTTCCTATGCCCTGGTCCAGAGATCTCTAAGAGAAAGACGGTTTGGAGTGGAGGGAGACCTTCATACAAGGGAGAAGGATCTTGCAAAGCCCAGGTCACTTGGCTGTCCCTGGGAAGTTAGGATAGCATTGCTGGAAGAGTTGGCATGCTTGTTATACCCTGGAGGTGACAAATTTGACAGGAGAGTTAGAGACACAATCAGAATCTAACCAGTAAATGACAAAGGTAGGGACCAATTCTAAAACGTCTCTAAGAAAATGTGGCTTCCGTGGAGGAAGTTGTGCAAACCATGTCACGCCTATCCGAAGCCCTTTTGCCCACTCTACTTAACTCTGGGTGAGGGGAAATGTTCTAGGATTCCCCTCCATTTAACACCTCTGGGCCCTTTCTGTCAGAAATGTTAGAGCAGAAAAGGAAACTAGGTTTTAAAGTGAAGCCCGCAGACCACCCCATACTTCACCAGCCAAACTGCTGAGTCTCAAGAGGTGGTGATGCAGATGGGCTTCTCAAGTGAGGCCTATATTGTATAAACTACCACCCAGGTAATGACGTCATAGGCACATACCCAGTGAAAACAAAAGTGAGAGCAAACAGTTTAATTCACACAACAAATCACAAACCAGTCTCTGAGTCCACGAGACTGTCTTTTAAGAAGACATTCAGTTTCAAGGCCTTTGCTGGAATGACATCAAACAATGACAATCTCACAAATCCTTTTTGCTCATAAATTGAATACCTCTAATGATGTCACAAACCCAATTTAACTTCCAAGGAGAAACAAAACTTTGAAGACAGTTAGCTGCACTAGACCAATGTCTGTCACTGAGCATTATGATTTTCTTTCTAACACAGTTTTTCTCCTTAAGGTCACCCTCATTGTCCTCAAAGGGACTTCATTAAGTCCAATTTTAATTTTTGCCTGTTTATTTGCATAAACACAAGAGCGACAATTGATCACATAGAATCTTTAAGTTTGCTTTGCTGGAACTCACAAGAGGAAACTTTAGATTGAACTTTAGTCAGCTCTTTAGGGCACAGAAGCCAAGCCACACTACTACCACCCAGCTTTGCCTGTGGTCCCTACTTCCCTCAAGTCCTTGAGGTTCCCATCATGTCTTAAGGTTCCTTTTTGCTATCTTTCAGGAAAGGAACCTTTGTTTCTTGATGGTGGTTTCAATTTTATCACTGTTGATCAGTCTTCTTAGGTTTTTCAGTTTTTTGTGACTCAGTCTAGTAAGGTTATGTATATATCCAGGAACTTATCCATTTCTTCTAGGTTATTGAATTTGGTGGTATAATGTTTTTCATACTATCCTTGTATGATCCTTTGAATTTCTGTGATGTCTAGAATAACTTCTCTTTCATTTCTGATTTTGTTTATTTGAGTCTTTTCTCTTTTTCCCTTAGTGAACCTAGACAGAGGTTTGTCAATGTTATTTTTTCAAAGAACGAGCTCTTCGTTGCATTAATTCTTTGTATAGTCTTTTTGTTCTCTATTTCATTTAATTCTCCTCTAATTTTTATTATATCTTTTCTTTTGCTGACTTTGGGCTGCTTTGGTCCTTCTTTTTCTAGTGCTCTAAAATGTAATGTTAGGTTGTTTACTTGGCATTTTGAGAAATATTTTATTTATTTATAAAAAATTTTAAATTTATTTTCAGAGAGAAGGGAAGGGAAGGAGAAGGAGAGGGAGAGAAACATTGATGTACAAGAGATATATCGGTCGACTGCCTCTCTCACACCACCAACCAGAGACCTGGCCCACAACCCAGGCATGTACCCTGACTAGGAATCCAACAGGCAACCTTTTGGTTTGTGGGGTCATGCCCAACCAACAGAGCTACACCAGTCAGGGCTATTTATTTATTTTTAGAGAAAGAAGAGAGGAGGGAGAAAGAGAGAGATAGAAACATCAATGCCAGAGAAAAACATCAGTTGGCTTCCTCTCACACATGCCCAGACCAGGGATAAACCTGCAACCTAGGCATATGCCCTGACCAGAAATTGAACCGCTACCTTTTGCTTTGCAGAACAATACCCAACCAACTGGGCCACATTGGTCAGGGATACTTGGGATTTTTCTCATTTCCTGAGATAGGCCTGTAATGATTTAAACTTCCCTTTTATTACTGCTTTCACTGCATCCCAAAAGTTTTGATAGGTCATATTGTCATCCTCATTTGTTTCTATGTATAATTTTAAAAATATATTTTATTGATTAGGCTATTACAGTTGTCCCAATTATTCCCTTTTTGCTACCCTCCACCCAGTACCCCCCTTCCCTCCAGCAATCCCCCCATTTAGTTCATGTCCATGGGTCGGTCATATAAGATTTTTGTCTGCTCCATTTCCTATACTATTCTTAACATCCCCTTGTCTATTTTGTATCTATCAATTTGTACTTCTTAATCCCTGCACCTTTTCCCCCATTCTCCCTCTTCCCCATCCCAGCTGATAACTCTTCAAATGATCTCCATATCTATGATTCTATTCCTGTTCTGCTTATTTGCTTAGTTTTTTTAGATTCAGTTTTTGATAATTGTGAATTTACTGCCATTTTAATGTTCATATTTTTTATCTTCTTTTTCTTAAATAAGTTCCTTTAACATT